TCCCACAGGTGAGATTCCACCAAGATTCTCTGGTTTCTCTGTGTTTTTTCCACCTAATGTGCTGCTGTTTATACAGACACTGGAAATCCCAGAAATCAGAGTGACTTAAGGTCTATTTCTAAGATCATCTATCCAAAATCATGACATCTTGAGAATTTCCATGGTGTACTGAATTCTAAAATTTAAAATTTAAGTTGTTAGATGAAGGTTTTGAGTTTTTCCAGGTCTTTTTAAACAAATTATTGTATAAACTGCTCTATTGTTATGAATGAGAGTAAAGTAATTTTTAATTTTTTGGTTCAATTTTGTTCCTGTATTTGCTTTTTACATTTGTCTTTATACCCTTTGGAGCCATGTATGACTTTTTTACAAAAAAATAGATCATTGCTTTATAAAAAAAAAAAAAATTTTAGTTGTTAACTCAACTTAGTTTTTCCTTGAAATTATTTCCTGTTAATTGGCTTATGGGAAGACCCTATGTCAGAGTCTTATAAGTATTGCCCTTTATTGCTGCTGGTATAATAGTCCATTTATTCCTACAATGGAATGAGTAAGAGGAAGGGGGAGAAATTGAGATAATGGAATGGATGGTGGCAGCCTAGAGGGCCAGAGGAAAGCAAGCTGAATCTTTGCAGCTAGAGATGGGGTGATGTAGAGATGGTGAGTGTGTATGTGTGGGTGTGTAGGGGAAGAAAGGGTGGAGCAAATGTTTTCTGAGAACATTCCTAAAAATGGCATGTGCTCAGTTTTTTGAATATAATTAATCTTCAGCTATGTAATTAATTTTAAAATTATGTAAAAATATAATTAATTTTAAGTATGATTTAAAAAGCTGACATAGTATTCAGTATGAATACAAAATTAGATGTGTCCCATAAACTTGCAATGATGGGTTCATGAGGCAGAGATTTTGGTCAGAAGAGCAGGTGGAAAAATAAACACCTAAAATGGTACCATGCATGCAGGTATCAGTCCCCCATGCACTCTCCCTCCTCAGCTTTATTTTTAATCATTTAAACTGACATCTTCTATATGTTCACTTACACTGCTGTGAAAACCCAGATGAACCTGGGACAGAGAAGCAAGGAATGACAGGAACACTAGCTCGGACCTAGAAGTGGCAGGGAATCCTCAGTAGGAACCTATTGTCATTTCCAGATAAGCAATGATACATGAATGACTTTTATGTTCATTGTGTACTCGTTATGTATCAGGCACTATAATAAGTGCTTTATACACATTACCTCATTTAACCCTCACAAAACCTATTACAATTCTCATTTTGAAAATTAGGTAACGAAGACATAGTGAGACTAATAACATGACTAAATCACACCTGTATAAATGATGAGGTCAAGGTGTGAACTCAGCCGGTCAGCACCGGGATCTGTGTTCATTGCCATGAGATTATGAGAACGTGCACAGCCTAGGTCCTGGGACTCTGCTGGTAGCCTAAGGATAAACAGCCAGAAACCCAGGCCATCCCCTCAAGCAACAGAGCACAGCAGAGTTTTTGAGAAAATGAAACTCGATTACAAACTTATCCATCCAGAGGTCGATAAAGAAGATGAGGGATGGAGGCTTTCCTCCCTGGCTTTCAGGACAGGTCTAATTTTTATCATCTTATTTGATAAGTCATCTTCACTTAGATACGTCGCAATGTAAAGCATTTTAATACTTAGGGATCTGGAAGATGTTTAAATCAGTGTATTCCTTAAGTAAGAAAAGTAATATGTGGTTTTGGTTCAGAAAATTGAGTACACAGTGGGCATTCAAAGATGTCAGGATCACACAGATGGTGGGAGAGCCCTCGGCAGGATGCCTGATACTCAGTGGTCAGCACACGTATGTGTAGGCAAAGTGTGCCACACGTATCTGATCGGATGCTCACATCAGTGTTACTAGTCGAGTACTGATATCACCCCGATTTATGCATCACATATACATGAATAAGGTGAGCCCGTTCTGTCGCTGGTTTATGCATAACCTTTGGAATGAATCAAACATGAGTCTTTATTCTGGTTATGCTACTTTCTAGGTGGGTTACTTAAAATGGCCTAGCCTCTAAGAGTTTCATTTTTTCTTTTATTCATTTTATAAGAAACCAAGGAGAGAAGAACAGAAGGAGAAATAATCTAGCTCTGTGCTTGTGCACGTTTAGTGTCTAATGCATGCATGTTGATTATATTGTCAGGATTTGGGGGCTGCTGAGTAATTCTTAAGAGCCTTTATCCTGAAGTGTGCTAGGCAATAAAATGTCTGAAATGTCTGCATAGGCAGCAAGGGACTTCTTAAAATAGTTGAGAAAGACTTTAAACTGAATTGTAAACTCAGTCATTTTTCCTCATCAAGTCCCTCCCATTGGGTAATCTCATAATATTATGACATTCTTAGCTCTGATCTTACTAAAGGGCTGTATTTATAGCCTATTTTATAAATTCTTATGACTCACCCCATAGAGTCTGTCATGAACTGGAACTTTAAAAAATGAGAAAAAATACCCCTGCTTCTGTTAAAAGTTATGGATGCTAAATAACACCCAAATCTTTTTCTAATTTTAAGCTGTTTACAAATTATAAAGAAAGAGCCCTTCTCCACTACCTTCCAAGTTGGGAAGTTTATTAAAGTTTCACTTAGTGTGACTTGAAGATTATGGTTATTTGATGATGATGTTGGTGATAAACATAACTTTACCACCTACCAAATACAAGAAACTAATTTCTGACTTTTTTTTCTTTTTTAAATTTTTATTGAAACATACTTGATTTATAATATTCTGTTGGTTTCAGATGTGTGAAATAGTGAGTGGGTAACTATATACATTCTAGTAAATGCTCATCATGATAAGTAGAGTTACCATATGTCATTATACAAAGATATTACAATATTATTGGCTATATTTTCTATGCTGTACTTTCATCCCTGTGACTAAATTATTTTATAATTTGAAGTTGGTTCCTCTTTATCACTTTCACCTATTTCACACTCCCCTATGGTAACCAACCATCTGTTCTCAGCGTTTCTGAGTCTTTTTGTTTGTTCATTTCTTTTGTTTGTCAGATTGCACATATCAGTGAAACCATACGGTGTTCATCTTACTATGAGTGACTTATTTCGCTTAGCATAATACTCTCTAGATGCAAATGGCAAGATTTCTTTCTTTTTATGGCTGAATAATATTCCACTGTGTATATGTACCACATCTTCTTTATCCATTCATCCACTGATGGACACTTCAGTTGCTTCCATATCTTGGCTATTGTAAATAATGATGCAGTAAACATAGGAGTGCATATGCCTTTTTGAATTAATAGTTTCATTTTCTTTGAGTAGACTCCCAGAAGTGGAATTGCTGGGTTGTATGTTATTTTTATTATTAGTTTTTTGAGAAATCACCATACTATTTTCCTTAGTGGCAACACCAATTGATATTCCCATCAACAGTGTAGGAAGGTTCCCTCTTCTCTACATCCTAACCAACACTTACCATTTTTTGTCTTTTGAAGAGTGGCCAATCTGACTGGTGTGAGGTGATATCTCACTGCAGTCTTGATTTTCATTTCCGTGATGATTAATGATGTGGAGCATCTTTTCATTTGTTTCTTGGACATCAGTGTATCTTCTTTGGAAAAATGTTCCGGTCCTCTGCCTATTTGTTAATCAGATTACTTTTATTTTTGGTGTTGAGTTGTATGACTTCTTTACATGTTTTGGATATTGGCCTATTATCAGATATAGCATTTTCATGATTTATTTCAATCTTCATATTTGACCAGTGAAGAAATTGAGGCTAAGTGAATTTATTAATAATCCCAGATACAGCTATACATAAATAATAGAGATAGAATGACTATCTCCTCCTTGTATCCTTATTAGCAAAGAGCAAAGAGAGGTCCTGTGTTTTCATTAGGGTATTAATCCCATCATGATAGCTTCATCCAACCCTACTTACCTCCCCAGGGCCTCACTCTGAAATACCATGATATTGAGAATTAGAGTTTTAACATGAATTTGGAGGGTACACATTCAGTCCACAACACCCTTTTTTAAGCCTCCATTCCATCCTGTTCTAGTATATTTCACTATTTATGAAATCTATTTATGAGCCAATTTTTCTAATTATGCCTTATGTTCCTTAAGACATACACCTTCTTGGATTTGGCATTCCATAGCCAAAGCACAGATCTTGGTATAAAAGAAGAATTAATCAATTACTATTGTGGAAAAAAATGAATCTGATATTATCTTGATACTTAGTGATCCTGAGAAGTAGTTGGCTGAAGACATAAAAAGCTTTAATATTGTCTTCTCTGAAAGTTTTCTTAATAGAGGACCTACTAATCTGTCCACTTAAAATTCTTAATTTCTTGGAATCTAGTGTTATAAATCTGCTAACCTATCTATTCCAATCTAAAATTGTTACTAGAGAATCAGTAAGCTTCTGCTTTCTATGGACAGAGACTAGTGGAAAATCTAAATAATTTAAGTAAAGTATACTTTACTCAAAATGAAAACAAAACAAACTAACAGAAACAAGAAACATACACATATGTCTAGTTGAATATGAGTTTAACGAAACACCCATTTCCTTTTAATTACCATTAATAACCTGTGGCATAGCACCATTCTGCTTGGAGCTTGTGTTCATTGTTTTATATGATATTTTGTGGCAACTGCTGATTATCATAAGCTGTCCAATAAACGTGATGGATTGCCCAATTAACTCTTCATCAGCATCCGTTTTTGAAGATGTTACCTATTGAAACTGATGGCAGTTTATGACCTCCATGTTGCATATGTAGCTAATTACTCCTTGGACAATAATTATTAAGTTTCTTGTGCCTCATTCAGTCATTTTATTTTACAAATTATGATGCCACTGAGTTTCACAATTCATTTGACTTCACAACTATGGCCCTCTAAGGATTACTAAAGGTCTGCTGTGAAATGGATGGATCATATAAACACTGAAGCAGATTACAGATATATCTGTTTTGTAGGTTTTCCATCGACCGGCATACTGATCTGGAGAGACAATTCAACATTAACGCAGATGATGGGAAGATAACGCTGGCAACACCACTTGACAGAGAATTAAGTGTATGGCACAATATAACAATCATTGCTACAGAAATTAGTAAGTGCCTGGGTTTAATTTCTTCCTTGTGTGAATGGGTCCATTTTATGCCTTGTGATCGCATGATAAATGATCCTGTTTCTGTTAGATATTTTGGCATTAGAACTTACTTTATTGTTCCCCAGGAAACTTTGGATGTATCATCTCAACATGAAATAACTTACACTGTGGTAAATTACCAGAGGTTGCAATATTGTGGGAAGGAAACATTCTTATATCCAAATATTCTTACTTCTTATATCCATTATTCAGCCAATAAAAACATTTTGCATATTAAAATATGGGGAAAGATTTAGTATAGAAAGGTAGTTAAAAATAGAACTCAATAACTTATACACCATAATTTAAATAAGCAAACACTAACCTACACAAAGTAGGAACTATGGATCATATATTTAAACAACACACAAATATATTCACACAGACAGGCAGAAAATACCAGTGGAAACTTCATACCATCCATACATATTATTTTGGGCAGATGAAATTATACATGATTTTTTGTTTTGTTTTTCAGTTTAATGTATTTTACACAGTAATCATTGACAATAGAAAACCAGAACTTTAATATAATTTCTTTTTCACAAATTACATGTGGAAAGGTAAGCTTGTTTCCAGAGGTGTTCCAGTGTTGTTAAAATAACATATGTTAGTCTTTCTGTCAATTTTTGGTGAGCGTAGTTTCTTTGATTGCCCTTAATGACGCACTGTTGAGTCTCTGAACAACAGCTACATGGTGAAATTTAGCGCGGCGCTGTGCTGGAGAGCTTGCACTCTGCCTCACCATTTTTTTTTATTAAACAAAAACATCATGTTCACTTTATTTCTAAACAAAATACAGTTTGCAAAAGAGATATCATGTGCATTTTATTTCCCAACAAAATGCAGTTTGCATATTATTTGATTCTCTTCTTTCCATAAAAGACCTGATGAAGCCTTCACAGTTTACACAGAATCAAGGGAGATAATAAATCCCTGTGAGAGTCAGGAATCTGAATAAGGAGGCAAACACCAACAGGAAGACAAATGCATGGGCATGTGTGCAGTGCGGGGTGTATAGGTGATGATTACAGGACGTGGGACCCAAAGTCCTCTCTGGGCTCTCTCTGAAGGCTGCTCTGTTTTCACAGCTAATGTGAAAACAGGGAAACATCTCTGAGATACATGATTAATTTGTCTGTACAAAGAAGAGAAATCCAGGTTTTCAGAATAGGGTATGGTGTTTCTTTGTTTTGAGATGCAGGGAAAATGTCCTCCGTGGAACCTTATGAAAAAACAAAAAAAAATCACTGTGTGAAAAAGTGGATTCAGAAGTGAAGCATGTCCATTTCTTTTAGCAACCTCCAGGACAAGCAAAGAAGAGCAGTCGACCTGATACGTAGTTTCAACCCTACCAAATAGAAGGTTCTAGAGGGAGGATGAGTTTTGGAAACTGGTGTTTTTCCTTGCTTAGGAGTACAATTTTCTTCCCTAGTATGTTACTCTTGCAGTATTTTCCCCTAGTTAACATTAATGGATAAAGCAAACAAAGCATAGAATTTGGTGACTTTGATTTTTTAGGAGTGTTAACCCCATCTAGTGAAGTACAGACATGAAATTTTTATAATTTACAGTGTTGAGGTTACATTATCATCTTGAGCCTCTGAGAAAAACTGTATCTATTTAGATTTGTTTAAGGCTTTATAAAAACCCTCTAAAGGACCACAGATTTCTTTAAAGTATGTAGGCAGTAATTACTTTAAAAAGAATCTTCTCATGTATTGAATACATTCTTGTTGAGTTAGACTACATCCATGACACTTTTTTAATGAGATGAATGCTTTCACTTAAATATTTATCAAGGAGGTACTAATTAGAAGAGACCATGTACTCCATTTTAAGGAGAGAACCAAAATGAAAACACAGAGAAGGTGTTTAAGAAATATTTCAGGGACAATCTAGAACAAAGGACTTCATTTGCAAGGAATCACAGACAAGCAAGAAGACAGACAGAAAAAGGAAATGCTCCAAAATGATGAGTGTTAACTATAGGCTGACACAGATACCAGCTCTGATCAGAGAAGACATGCATTTGCTCATTTCACTCAATAATTCCTGGCTGAGTCTTTCCACTTGCCAGAATTCTTCTAGTGACTGGGTCCTAGAGCAGTGATCAAAATAGGCAAAAACCCTGGTCCTCTTGTAGTTTTCTCTCTACTGGCACCTGAAAGCACTTGCATTTGGAAGGGAAAGTTAGAATCTGCGGCGCTTTCCTTCAAGAAACACACAGAGGTTAGGAAGAAGGTAATGAGTGTTGGTAGTTACGAGCAGGTTCATGTTGATTGGCAAGAAAAAAAAGTTGTTAATGATGGACCTCCTTCAATGAACATATGGTTATATTAAATGGGTATCATAATAAATATGAAAAAAATCCTTTATGTATGTCAGTAAAAATAACTAAAGATTATTTTTAATGTGGTAGAGGTACTCTTATTATTATAAAGACAGTATAATCAAATTACCAAAAAAAAAAGTCAAAACCAGAGATAAATTCTCTTCATGGCTTGAAAGAAATCATTCAAATATGTCCCAGGTTTAGGTTTACAGTTGGCTTCATACAGAGAAAAAGTATAGAATGGCTCTGCCCACACAACCATCAGCTTGCCATGAACATTATCGAATTTAAAATACATAATGCAAACTTACATCACTTTGTTGAAATCATGGGAGGTAGCTCACCTTTTAAATTAATAGATTAGTTAATGAATTAATTTTTACTCAGAGATAGGTAATTAAAGCTACATAGCCATATTTTGCTAAGAAGCAAGCTTAATTCAGGAGGTTAAACATCTCAAGGGATGTAGACCTATTAGTTTAAATATCAAAATTGTTCTCTTTAATTTTTGCACAGAACTTTCTTAGAACCAGCAGAAAGAATGTAAAAAGCTATTTTAATTTTTAGCTATACAATCTAAGCTGATGTAGGCATAAACCTAAAAGCTTTAAAAGTATAGCTAAGCCCTGTTTTCTAAATCATGAAAGGAAGTAGAAACAGTAAGGTTTCAGAGAACTTAAAAAAATTGGAATTACTATGAAAATGGCTTAAAAATTTGTTTTGACTTGGTTTTATTATTTGGCCTATTGCATAAGGTTTATCTTCCAAAGCCACAGACCATATCTTAGGGAAAAAATATTAAAGAGAGATTTACTGTATTTGGATGAGATGAATATTTAAAACTACTCAGGACAAGAGAAACTAATGGAGAAGCTTCTAATAAAGGTAAAGAAATATTAATTCCAGGGAGAACAATTTAAAATTACTCTCGGAAAGCCATCTCATCAGACAAGATTTAAACAAATGAAATTTAGCGGAAAAAAAAAGAATTTTAGGGACGTCCATCTGTTATTGCTTAATGAGAATGGAGATGTTTTCCTTTATTCTCCTGTGTCAGATTTACTTAACCAGGGTTGAGATGCTTTACTGTGTATATTACCCAAGTATTTGAGTGGAAATAGATCTAACTTGCCATCATAGTCAACGGGCACATCTCATTACATCAGGTAGCAGTTAGATGTCCATGTGTTAACAAGAGATTAGGCTTGTGTAGCGCATCTCTGCTCATAAAAACCCATCCTTTTCTGGCTGCTGTTTACTACGGTGATGAAGGTTCAAGGTAAATTTAGCTAATTCAACACTGAAAAGGTATTATGGAAGCTGTAGGATGCATTTAATTCTCACAATACTCTGTAAAAGTTGGCACTATGACATGCATTTTTCAGGCAAGGAAACTCAGCCACAGGTTAAGCAACTTGCCCAAGGGTTCATAGAGGGCAAGTGTTCCAGGGCAGGGGCAGGGTTGGTACCTATGCTGTGGAACTGCAGATTACACGTTCTCAGATGCCCTCCATGGAGGAATGCCTCTCTTATGTTATCTCCGCTTTCATCCTCCTGCTTCAGTTGAGCTTCTGACTCTGCAGCATCATTTCCTGAAGCAAGTGAATGAAGTTGTTCTGAGCAAAGCAAGAGGCTGGTGTGGGTGGAGGACAGAACAAACATCACGGCCTCCTATTCTAACATTTATAGCTGAGGGAAGGAATATTGCCTGATGGACAAAGCAGAGCTTTGGAACTGGTCAGCCTGGGATTTGATTTCCATTTTAGAGATCAGGAAACTGAGGAACACAGAACAAAGTAGTACATTTTAAGGAACAGCGTTTTTTGATGAAGATCACAGAGAACAAAGTGAACGCACCCAGATGATTACAATTCACCTGGGTAATTGTTTAAACCAAACAAAAAGGGCTCAGATCTTCTCCCTGCACCTACTGAATCAGAATCTCAAGGCAGTGGGTTCAGAAATCCACTTTTCCCCTGTTCTCCCACCTCATTCCCTGCACCCGCCCCAATCAGTTGTACATTACCATTGAACAAAGGGAGGAAGGCAAACTGTTCTCTTGTGCATTTGCCTTGTGCTTCTCTGTTATTCCTGTGGTGATTAAGTATACTTCCTTGAGCTAGATTTAAGCTTAGGCTTCTCAGATGACGCGCAGGATCCCTTTAGGTTGGGCAGGGAGGTGAAACCTTCGTAAAAGGGCAGCATGAGTGACAAGCACAGCTGTAGTAAGATAAAGGATATCGGGGGGACAGTAGGGGACAGTAGGGGAGAACATTTGCTTAGGAGAGAATCTCTGTAGGGGCATATTAAGAGACACTGAGCGTCAATGTGCACATGTCCTTCCCAGAGAAATTGGTGACGTGGGATGGGAAGTGGGGGAGCCTGCTGACACCAGGAACCTGGGGGCCGGCATTTGGCCTTTACAGAAAGCACACCACTACCGGTTACCTGAAAGTATTTTTAGGCAGGAAGCATATAATTGCCCATTAAATTAATCTTTTTGAGTTAGTGATGATGCATTGCTCTGACCCACTACAGTGGGCTGCACACAATATTGCAAATAAAGCTTTTCGCTAATGATGGTTCAGTCTCCCCGGGAAAACACTAGTTTGATAGCACTTAAGAA